TGAAGACAACCTCATTGTTCCCACTTTCCTGGAAAGAAAGAAGGAATACGTAGCCTTGGGTGTGGCTGCTAAGGCCAGTGGCTTAAAAGGGGGTTGAAGAAATTCGCAGCAGACAGGTGTACGAGTGGCTGTCGGTCTGGAAAACTGTATGTTACCTCTCAGTCATTGATAGTTGGAGGAACCGCGATCAGAGAAGGAAAGACCCCTTGGGTATATTTGCTTACAAAAAAACCCATCTCTCCCTCTGGTCATCTTGGCTTTCTTGGTGGGCTATAACATTTCCTAGATTTGTTGCTGTTGTCATCCTCCATCAAACTGTAGCTGACTCCCTGTAACTCTACAGGTCAAAGCTCTCCAAGCCAGATTACTCACTGGAAGCCAGATTCATGAAACAACTGTCAACTTTAGGACACATCTTTGGAAAGATGATTATTTGTTTATTCAATTTATATGGCTGCCTGTCTCATAGGAATGAGTTTGGTTGGCCTGTGACCAAAACAAATCAACAATCCACGTAACTAATCTCCGAGGTAAATAAGGATTGTTCCCAATTTACAACAGAGAAAAAAACAAAACCAATCAACCAGCAAAGCTTGCTTGAGCTTTTGGCCCAAAGGTCTGGAAACAGCCAGGTCTTTAGCGCCTTGTGAGAAGCTAACAGGGTCAGTGTCCTCCAAATCTCTGGAGAGATGCTGTTCCACAAGGTATGTGCTGCCACAGAGAAGGCACGACTTGGGGTCCATCAAGATGATATGGCTCGATAGGACAGACCCAGAGCATGCCCTTCTTGCAGTTTTGGTGGGGCAAGGAGAAACCATGTGAGGTGGGTGATCCCATAAACAGCCCGCCCTATGTTATGTGAGGCTTCATCAGTAATAACCAGCACCTTGAACCCTTTCTGTCCGCCTTGCCCAGCAGTATCATCTTTTCCATAGATGTATCACCCCTCATGGTGTGTTCAACATGGTATGGCTTTATTTCAGGATCCTGGCTTCCAGTGAGTGTTCTGGCTTGATTTCCTAGTATTAA